CTTACACTGATGATGTCCTGGTTGCACTGCAGCACAGTGTTGAGGGTGTCCAAGTCTCTCTCTCGGTCTCGTCCAGCCTTCCTCAGAGCCTCGATCTCCTTCTCCGTGCTCGTCTCTTTTTCAGTTATTTCAGACCTCAGAGCCTCCAGTGCAGCCTGAAGATCAGAAAATGAAACAATCAGCTCATCGACAGAAAATAAACATAATTTTGAACTCAATAAAAAGTGTCCATCACAGTACTTCCACCCTTTCAGGGACATGAGAGCTTGGTTTGCTGACTATCAGCAAAAATGTGTCTGCTTGTGCTGACAACCGCCGTGCTTCAGCGAGCGGGTAACGTCATCATAAGCAGAGCAAGCTTTGCTATAACGTCAACAATCAGCATGAGAATGACAGACAGCGCAGCTCTAACCTTGTTGTCAGAGATAATCTCTCTCAAGTTCTCAGTCAGCTTGTTGGCCAGCTCAGTCCCCGCTCCCTCCTCCACACACAGCCTGCTGATCAGACTCGTGCACTCCTGGAAGACAGGAAATATCTGTCTGTGAACACATTCGTGACATTTTACCTGCATTTTCTGGATGTTAAATGATTGAAATCTTTTCTAAATGAGGATTACAGCGAGCTTTTAAAGCAAAATGCTACAGAGAGTTACACTAGCCAGAGGCAATGACTTGATATGGATGCAAGTGAGACGCAGGTACACGGACATGCTCAAATCTGTTTAAAACCACAACTCTCAGTGTTCAAGTGTAAAGAAGGCAGAGGTGTGGATCCACAGAAAATGAAGTATAATGCTGAAAATGTCAGTATTATGTTGGTTCTACTGCTTTTACAGGACATGGTTCTCCTTTTGTAGCATATATTTACTTACTCAGTGGTTTCTGCATTAAACGGCTTAGGTAAGCAGACTTTCTTTGAGTGTTAGATGCAAAAATATAAAGTATGTGCATATTTTAAATGGAAGAGTTTCAGATTCAGATAAGGTTGGCAAAGAGGAAGTAAGCTGGAGCCAGTAGCTTGTTAGCCCAGCATAAAGACTGGAGTAGAGGGAAAGAGCCGGTGTAAAGCTAGAGACGTGCAGCCTCTGTGCACAAGCACATGTAAAACCAATTATATCATCATATTGTATTTTATGTGGACAATGATAATCTTTTAATCGTTTTAGTAACTGAAAAGCTCCATCCTATTACATTATCCTTAACCATAAATGTCAATATTTTCTTTAATAGTCTCCGTGATCCTCCAGTAACCTTCAGGTAAGGAAATCCTTCTGCTAGGTGAGCCCTGTTTTGTTTTGTGTTTTTGTGAGTCCACAAATTTTCCTGCTGTTAATCATCAACATGACAAGTAGCTACAAACACCGGCAGTCGCGATGAAAGCTTTCTCCGATCACTCGTGAACACACAGATTTGGCACTGCCCCTTTAAACGTACAGCAGCTTCACAGAAAAACAACATTCCAGAGAGCTTTCGAGTCGGAGCCTCAGCAGCGGCAGCTCGAGCCGCCGCAACGCTTTCCACCTCACCCACCTGGATCAGACGCTCGCGGCTGTGCAGGGAGAGGCCGAGGCTCTGCAGCAGGGAGCTGCCAGCCGCCTTCTCCTGGAGCAGCTGGAGGAAAGAGAACAAACAGCTTCATTCAAACGCCACAGAGGAG